TATGCTTGATTTAGGAACTCATCAACTTTTTGAAGAACTGAGAATCAATAGTAATGTTAGATATTGAGAAAAATAATTAGTATTCATTACATTACATAAAAAAAAAGTGAAGATTCCTCCAACGTTTATATCGATCAATAATTTTCTTTTATTGTATTCTTTGAAACTTTTGTATACGAAAATTATATGTATCTGTAACATATAAATTCATTTCTGAATCAAATGCTACATCATGTGGATAATATAATTCATTACTACCATTACCAATGTGACCCGTTCCTGCAATTGTTATACCATATATAGCATTAGGACAAAAAAGTTGTATTCTATGATTCATACAATCTGTGATATATAAATTGCCATATTTATCAAGAGTTAGGCCTTCCGGACCCCACAATTGAGCTGCACTATTACCGGGTCTGCCAGGAATTCCTGCATATATATTTTTATTTCCATAAGAATCCATGTCCCATTGAGTTACAGAATGACTTTCTTCATTTGATATATATAAGATATTATTTGGTTCATCTAAATATAAACCAGTCGGAGTATTTAATTGATATGGATTGAGACCTGCACCGTGACCACCCTAGAATAATAACAAAGAATTTATCATTTAAAATATAAGAATATGTAAAACGATTTGTCATATTGGTTATTTCTAATATGGTTGGCCTCGCCTAAATATTGAGAAAACAAACTGCCAGCTAAACAGAAAAAAAGCGCACATTGATTGCAAGAAGATCTTGCATCAAATAAGATTACTATCATGTATCAAAAAGTACATTGATTAATTTTTTCGTGTTTTATTTCGCTGTTTCAGCGATTCTTCATCAATTTCAGTGAGATAAAACTCATTCGTCCATCTATGTTCTGTCCTTTTGTTGTTTTTCTGTAATTATGAAACGAAAGAAATGGTAGATCTTGATAGAATTGCTGAACGAGTATTGTCAATAATCTATCGACATACAAACTACGCCTTTTTGATTTTCTTGGATCCTTATTTTGGTGAAATCAGAAAATAGGGTGAATGAATAATTTTGCTACTAACTGCATAAGCTAAATATTAGGCATTTTTCAGTCGGCATAATTTAGACTACGCGAACGTTAGAAGCGTTTCTTTTTTGTCACTTTATTAGGCAACTGTTGCATGTTTTTCTACGGTGTATTATTCCTTTCTTCAAATGAACACTGTCTCATTTTGAAGTACAAATATAAGATAGGATCTGGTTTAGCGAAGATAAAATCAATAACTTACTGCTATAATTGTACCAACAGATGTTTTTGGATCATATGTAGATGGCCATCTTGTTATACGTTCATTATTCATATCGGAAACTATTATATTTTTCTTTGAATCCAACAAAACTCTATATGGACGATTAAATTCATTCAATGCTGAACCGACGGTGCCATTTCCAGCCACTGTTTTTCCTCGTTTGGCATCTTTTTCCCAATACTGAATCCGCTGATTCATCATATCAGCAACAAAGACGTTTTCGTTTTCATCAGCAAAAACATCTCCCGGACTATATAGTTCGTCTGCTGCGGATCCACCGGCACCATTAGCCTGACCTGCAGCTGTTTTGATTTCACCATTTGGATAACGTTTTTGAATACGATTATTAGCAGCGTCAGTGATATATAAAATTTGTGTTTTTGGTTCAATAAATAAGCCTTCAGCATATTTGAATTGATCCGGACCTGAACCATAACCATTGCCCATAATTGTTATTCCAGTTGTACTCCATTTCAGGTTACCTGGACCTAATGTTTGAAAAAGAGTACTTTTAAGTCTCAATCTCTTTTCTTAGGCAAGAAGAAATTTAAGCTTTTCAATTTACTAGATTGATTTCAATCATGAACTCGTATTTTATATATGGTATGAGTGGAAGATTTTTTTGACTGTAGAATATATACTCAATTTTATGAACACGATTTAGAATAATATTGTCACATGTAAAACAGAGAATGTAGAAAAATCTATTCAGCATTGATACCTACTCTACATAGTTGTGTACAACCTAATTGTTAAAGAAATTATCGAAGCGGTTAAATTCAACAAAAAAAGGAGAACACGAATAATGATAGATTGAAAGTTTTTCCTCGTTCACTACAATCTGTATTATTGACTTTCTGGATTTTATTTTTGCTCATTTCAATCACAATGTAAAGTAATATTTTCTTGTTCAAATTTCGGTCTTGAGCTTGTTTTATCAGTTGAACATCTCACAATATTACGAGATACTTTCAAAAAACTTCAAAGAATTTCGCGACAGACTAATGTATTAACTGAATATGCACTTACATTCGCTTGAATCTTTATAAACTAATTGACCTAAAAACAAAACAGAAAAATTAAAGATACATTAATTCGTATTTCTTAAAATGTTTTCATACACTTACCATCATTTGCAACAATTATCCTAAAAGTAGGAAAAAGAATATTTCACAATTAGTTATAGAATTTGTTCGATTTCAGAATGACAAGTCTCATCTATTCTTTAATACTTACACACATAGCAATAATAAATAGTGCAACATCACTTTGTTACCTTTATTACTTTACAGAGAAATGATGAATATCTACATCTCAGACACCTTTTAAATTTCATATCTTTCTTTATCAATGCATTATCATTTATATGTAGCATATTTTTATATCAAATTATGACACAAGGAGAAATGCACAGAATGATTTAAATAAGATATCGAGAAATGAAAATACGTATATTTTCACGAATTATTATGAAATGAAGAAGATGCTCAGAGCAAAGATGATATTCACATTTATTAGCGTGACTATGCGTTAGACATGTATGATTATTTGGCATCACCATTGGCGAAGTAATAAAATAGGAAATATAAAACTATCACTTAATTATTGTGTTAATATTGGGTGTGGGTGTGGAGTGTGAGTGTCAATGTAATCGTCTCTTCATCTACACCCACACCATACACTCACCCACATCCTCACACCCACACCCCACATCCACACCACACACCCAGCTGGATGGGTCGTCGTGACCCATTCGAATGGCCTCCCAGATCGCCCGATTTATCGCCACCCGATTTTTTTGCATGGGATGTTGTCAAAGATGCGGTTTATTCAGAGAAGCCAGCATCGATTGATCAATTGCAAAATGAGATTGTTAACGCGTTGCAACAGATTTCAATCGACTTGTGCAAAAAAGTCTGTCGGCCCATCGAATCCCGCCTTCACAAGTGCATTCAAGTTGATGACTTGCATTTCGAACAAGACTATTAACTGATCAAAATATATATCTCTTTGAATAAAACATTATTCGATATAAACGCTAAATTTGAAATGAAGAGATAACAGAAACAAAAATTGTCAACTATTAAAGATTGTTGGATGATTTTTTGGTCACCCTACCCTATATTGTCTTCGCAGAACTGCCACTGTTTTTTCGAAGATCATTGAGCGATTATTTTGTGATCAATCAACAATGTTGAATAAGATATGGAACTATGCAGTGAAACGCCCTCCTTCCAACGCTGAAAACCGCAGTTCTCTGTCTTTTTCCTATCAAAAGTTATTCACAATTTAAGATTGGTAGGTAACTTTTGGACCACCCTGTACTATGGCACATAGTATTGATAAAATTACAGTAAAGGTACTTGATCCATCGGATGGATCTATGGGCTATGAAACACAGTTGCAAAAGCCACTATTCATAATCCCTTTTGCGTGGCTGACTTCTCGTACATCTCATCGGATCGACAGACTTCAAACAACGATATCATGTCAGTCGATGACAATGATAGCCAAGATTCAATCAAACAACTCGATGATCTACTCTCTCACTTGCGGATCGGTGATAATCGAATGTCGGCGATCAAACTAGTTAACATCGACTCTAGCATTTCTGTCTTCAACAAATGGAACGATAACAGCGATGTCCTTGTTGAAATTGTCAATGCTTATGCCATCGAAAGCATCGAAGACATCGAAGAAGAGGAATCAATTGAAGAGATACTTCAAAAATTGCCCGAAACGCTTGACATGCTACAAAGATTACATTTATTCACGTCGACAGAACAACTTGAACTCCACGTACTTATCAGCGAACTCGAGTCAAAGATGGCTGATCTTTATCTTGATTGAAAAGTGTCCCAACAAAGTTGTATGACTGATTTTTTCAAAAAGTACTGATGAAATTCAAAGATTTTTCAATCAATTATGTGAAAAAAAAGTAAATTTCAATAAATTATGATATAAAATATCTTAAAATGGCTTTCCTTGCAAAATAATATCGAAAAAAAGGAGTTTGATTTATTTTAGTAACTACAGAAATGACTACTAAGAAATAGACTGGAAATCTCTCAAAAATGGACACTTCCCTATGGTGGACACTTTGGAACGATCCCTTAGGTATCCACTATAGAGAGGTTATACTATATATATTTTATCAAAGAAGAATAGTCGATTATTGTTGTTCGTCTTCTGATAAAATATCTTTCACATCTACTTGAGGTGTCTTATGTTCTTCTTTTTTTGTCTTTGTCATAGTTTTCATCATCATTATTAATATCACGAAAACAATCTTTGTCCACTTCCTCTACTTGTAAATATCGTTGACCATCGACATTTGTCCAATATTTATTCTTGTCTAACTTCCGTTCATCTGTCGACATTTCATTTTCAATTGCAAATACAATACGTGCCCGTTCTAAATGCCTATTTAGAAGAATAAATCAATGAGAAAAATTAATTAATTAAACGAACCATATTTGTGTAGCACCTTCGATTACATTTCCATATGTATCACCCATCATAGCAATGAGTAAATTGAGTAGAAGAATAGAAACAACAACAACATAAATGACAAGTAATAAAACACTGGTATATTGAAATGTTGTTCCCGTGTAATGATTGAGATCAAAATCACCCAATATACCAAAAAAACACTGTTTGATACTCACAAGAAAACCATCAAAACCTATAATAATACAAAATAGCAACAAAAAATTTCTCATTCTATTTACCGTTATTATCGAATAGAACAAAGAATGCTTGTGAAAAACCAGCAAGAAATACCATATAAATAATACAAAAACGGAGAACATCATGACAAAACATTTCATAGATCATAAACACAAATGGTCCAGTGAGTTGAAACGCCATAACAAAAAATAGCATATAACCCCAACTTATAATAGAGACAAGTGCAAGTACGATAGTTTGTGCTTGTATATCAAGTAGATAAAGAATGTTAACAATAATGATACCACAACAAAATGAACATGATAGACAATTTTCAAGAAAAGCAGCACCCTAGTCAAAAATAATAACGTATACGATTCATGATAAACATCAGAAATAGAAATGCTCACCGTAGCCTGAAAATATTTTCGTATACCCACATTAGTCATTTCTCTTATTTCAGATTTCCCCTTTAATACAGCTCCAGCTAATACAATAAGACGACCTATGATGCGTACTATTTGATGAATGCCGCCTGGATATTGAACACTAGTTACCACCATTTTCTTACCTTTACCTTTTGTCTACGACCAAAACAAGGACAAAAAAATATATTTCAATCTACAAAGGTTTTCTGACATAATGCTTTTACCGTTTCTATTCGTGTCTGATTGAGAATTGTAGTAATAAGAAAAATGAATAGATAGACAATAGTAACAAGAAAACGTCGAAAAAAAATACGTTGAGCAAAACGCTCCCATTTTTGATCGACTAAATCGATAATACGTGGATGCATAATAAGTTCAACTTGAGCATTTTGTACGATCAATTCAAGAGCTCCAGGTGTATTTCCGCCCTTAATGTATGTCGAAAAAACAGAGAGTGAAAGTAATTATATACTCACTTCTTGTTGAAATTCAAGTTCGAGTTCATCAAGTGGATAGAGTACACACGAGACAGGTCCATAACGCCATTGAACAATTTTACGTTCGTCAAGTAAAAAAGAGAACATATCAGTTAGACCTAATTTAGCTGCTAATGTAAATGGAGTGAAACCATCTTTATTGAGACGTTTCCATAATGGAACCTTTTTTTTCTTCGTGGATGCGACTTTATCGTCATCTACATTGCTAGATTCGCTAATCGCTATTGCGTGTACTTCCAACCAACGTTCCTTGAACTTAGTATATATTTGAGGTAGATTATGAATGACAAGTAAGTGCAGTATTGTATTCCCATTGCTGTCAACCTAAAATAGAGAGTCAAACAAAAATCTCCTGCTTGGATGTTTTCTTCTGAAAAACAGTGTTGTCTACTGACCATATCCATAGAGGCGCCGTATTTAAGTAGAATTTCGGCAATGTTCCATTGATTAGTACAGCAAGCAAATGCAAGAGGAGTTTCACCATAGTAACATGGACGGCCACTGAAAAGAAATGGAACATATTGATGTCATCCTAAAGACAAGAGAGAGATGTACAATTGGAAAAAGTGACCATTGGCGGCAGCTGCCAATTGTTGTTCTCGATAGGGTCGAATGTGTTCATCACTAAGCAGCCATTCGACTATGGATGCATTACGATTGACAATAGCAATATGAAGAGCAATCTCGCCATAATATTCCTGTATCATGTAGATATTCTTCAACAGAGAGATGCATCAATAGAAAGTTACTCACTGGCTGATTGTAGATCTGTACGACGGTCTCTGGAAAACGTGTGATGAGATATCGAGCCATGTTGAGATGAGCTCCAGTTCCATATAAGAATAACATATGAATGGGACAATCACCAACGGGACCTCTTGCATAAATACCATTATGATCGGCATCGAGAAGATGTTCGAGTGCTGCCTGATCCGCTTTGCGTATAGCTTCCCAAATAGTCCCGCCCTTATGTGAGGCCTCTGTTTGTCGTTCAACTGCCGATAGATTCACTTCTTTATTAAGTGCTTCTGCTGCCAACTGTTTAGTTTGGGCCATACTATTAATAGTAGCTTGAAAGTGACTTATGAGACAACCACACCAAATTATTAAAAGCTCTTCAATAGAGAGTCTCTTTATAAATGAAACCTAAATGAGGTATGAAAAATCCCAAAAGCATATGTGCTCATGGGTCTTCTTTCTTGAGTTATAGTCACTTTACTGAATTTTCGATCCGTTACACGATATTTCAAGAAACAATTGCATAAATGTATCTTGATCTGAAATTTTGCCCAAAGATTGCTCCGATGATCCCTAGAATTCCTGAAAACTTTCAGTCGTTAACGGGTACTTCTTTTTTCGATTTATTGACTTTTGAGAAAACGCTCATATTTTCCAAAAATATTTGAAAAAGTCGTTTCAATGTCTTTGAATAATACTATTCGGACAAGCATTTCATACGACACATTTTTCGTTTGTGTAACAGAAATCGTTTATTTAAATGCTGGTGTCTTCGTCCCTCAAACGAAAAAACGCTGTTTGGTTTTGGAAAGACGTATTCGACGGCTAGTATCCCTTTTTGAAATGGCATACATATTGTGTAAACGCGTGTAAATCCGGAAGCGGGCTTTCAACATGCTTGTGCAAGACTTTTGGCATTGACGGACTCAGTGGGCAGCACACTTGGCTCGATCTATCTAGATAGTTTTTGGTAAATTGAACAAGAAAGATTTTCCACAGTAGGAGGCTTGAGGTTCGATGTTGATTCAAGTAAAAAAGAATACCTATCGAGTGTATCCTCAGAGAATACAAATGACCTTGAAGATATGTCCATAAAGTCAAACAGGTTTAATTTGTTCAAAAACACATCCTTTTCTATGCATTCATCTTGTGCCTATGATGCCTCTTCATGCGACACTCCTCATACCATGGATAGGGATGGCACATTTACTTTGCTTTTTATTAGATAAACATAGTAAAATAACTACTTTTAGTTACTTTTTACTAGTAAAGTAAAAGTAAAGTGCCACCCCTAACCATGAACATGATACTCTTTGTCTTGAAAGAAAACTCATTATTCACGGTTCTCAATGGAAAGTGAAGAAGAGCAGAAGACCGATGTGTATGATTACTGTGTAGTCCAGGTTGAATAGCATTGCTCTCTCGAGAACAATGCCAAAAATAAACTATGATATGAAACTTATCGAAATTCGACCATGCTACAATTCTAGTCTGCTCACATTCACTTACCTTACTCTCTTCCGACCAATAGACACTCGACACGATAGCAAAGTGAAAGCAACTGTATATGCTGCCTGGTTGCCAGCGATGAAAGAACACCAATCTCTACACAGTAAAATAATTTCAGCGCGGCGTGGTGAGATTGAAGTGTTGACACACGCTGAAATGAAATTGACAGATGAAGAAATTGCACCACTACCTGATCATTTTTTGTTCTTTGCCTTCAACAACCTTCGTTGTTTCATATATGACAATGAGAGAATAAAAATTCTCCTTTCTTTTTGTTCTCTTTTCTGAAAGAAAGGGTTATACAGCGGTTAAAAAATGCTTAAAGTTTGTCTGTCTGTCTGTCTGTCCAAGCCAATCAGAAACGAGCTTTTCTATTTTTAGATTTTGTGGTCATTCTGATGAAACTCTCCTATAGGTTATCGGGGGCAAGAAATCCGAATCCGATGTCGGATTTTTTATCTGAGCTTTTATTGGTCGGTTTTCCGACCAATCAGAAACGAACTTTTCTATTCATCGAGTTTTCAGCCATTCTGATGAAACTTTGCTATAGGTTGTCGGGGCAAGAAATCCGAATCCGAGGTCGGATTTTTTATCTGAGCCTATATTGGTCGGTTTTTCGACCAATCAGAAACGAACTTTTCTATTCATCGAATTTTCGACCATTCTGATGGAACTTTTCTATAGGTTATTGGAGGTGAAGAATTCGAGTCCGAGGTCGAATTTTTGATCTGAGTCTTCATTGGTCGAAAAACCGACCAATCAGAAACAAGCTTTTCTATTCATCAAGTTTTCGACCATTCTGATGAAACTTTTCTATAGGTTATGGGGGGTAAGAAATCCGAATCCGAGGTCAGATTTTTGATCTGAGGTTTTATTGATCGGTTTTCCGACCAATCAGAAACGAACTTTTCTATTCATCGAGTTTGCGACCATTCTGATGAAACTTTGCTATAGGTTATTGGGGGCAAGAAATCCGAATCCGAGGTCGAATTTTTTAGGTGAGCCTTCATTCGTCGAAAAACCTACCAATCATAAACAAGCTTTTGTATTCTTTTTGATTTTTGGGCGTTCTGATGACACTTTGCGATAGGTTATCGGGGGCGAGGCGTCCAAATCCGAGGTCCGTTTTTTGATCTGCACTTTTATTGGTTGGAGACCAGCTAATCAGAAACGAGCTTTTCTATTTATCGAGTTTTCGACCATTCTGATGAAACTTTTCTATAGGTTATTAGGGACGAAGAATCCGAATCAGAGGTCGAATCTTTTATATGGGCTTTCATTGGTCGAGAAACGGACCAATCACAAATGAACTTTTCTGTTCATCGGGTTTCGACTATTCTACTGAAACTTTTCTATAGGTTATCGACGATGAAAAATCCGAATCCGAGGTCAGATTTTCGATCTGAGCTTTCATTGGTTGGAAAGCTGACCAATCAAAAACGTGCTTTTCTGTTCATCGGGTTTCGGCCATTCTGGCAAAACTTTGCTATAGGTTATTGAGGGCGAGAAATCCGAATCTTAGGTCGGATTTTTTTCTCTGAGCTTTCATTGATCAGAAAACGGGCCAGTCAGAAACGAGCTTTTCTGTTCTTTGGGTTTTCGGCCATTCTGATGAAACTTTTGCGATAGATTATTGGGGTGACAAATCCGAATTGCAGGTCGGATTTTTTATCTGAGCTTTCATGGACCGAGAAACGAATGTGCCAGAAACGAGCTTTTCTATTGTTCGGATTTTCAACCATTTTGAGAAAACTTTGCTGTAGGCTATCATGGGCGAGGAATGCGAATCTGAGGTTGAGTTTTTTATCTAAGCTTTCATTGGTTAGGAGTTCGACCAATCAAGAACAAGCTTCTCTACTTTTCGCGTTTTGCGTGGTTTGGTGAGAATTTGTGACCAGTTATCGAGAGCTGGGAGTCTGAATCTGGGATGGAGTTTTTTATTCGAGCATACTCTTGTCGAAAACCTGGCCAATGAAAAAGAACTTTTACTTTTTTGCAGGTTGTACGCGTTGCGGTGGGGATATATGAATTATAGGAGATATAAGATATATAAAATACATTGGAGATACAGCAGGTATTAAGAATTATTGAAGATAAATGTGATACTATACAAACACGCGACAACACATACAAAAAGTATCGTACCTAATGTGGGTGCCGCAAAGGGACGGATACACGTGACATCACACACATCGGATTACAATGTTGTGGATTCGCCTGAGCAGAAATAGGAGGGATCTGGTGGTCTAGCATTTGAAGGTGATAGGCGACATCATTTGTTCGTATGTGTCTCATTGTGGTGATCATGTAATTTTTTTTCGTTTTTGAAGAAATTCTATAGGCACAATTTATGGAAAAGTATTCAGATTGATGAGATTAGGAACGTATTGAGCTAAAGCAATCTTCAAAACGAAAGACTTTGCATTGATAGAATACCATCAACTATAAATGAACGTGTTTTTATCAATGATGCAGCCGACGGATTTGAAGGGTTGTTGTCTGAATTTGTTTCTTGCAGAGATGAACTGTGAATTCCTGAATATGTCAGAAAATATGCGTATTTTCAACCGCACTGATCAGAAATATCGTTTTAAGACTCAAATCAATAGTTGTTGTGTTGTTCGGAAGCTTTCAAAATTCCTCGCGAAATCGTTGATATCGGTATGTTACTTTAAGAAAGCAATTGAATTGAAAGCTATGAAAATATATTAGACACAATTGACGATTCCTCTTTAAATATTGTTATATCTGGACGTATGTGGAAATCACTGTGGCTTCTGTTTTCGGGGAGTAGTTCATATCTGCTGTATTTCTAATATCTGCAACGTTTCCTATATTTCTTCTATCACCTATATATCCTAGGGTGGCACTACATTAGGTTTTCTGAAATACCCTGAAAAAAAACATCTAATCAAGACAAGTAATCAATAGAAAGCGAATCTTCAGGAAAATGGTTCCCTTGGAATGTTTCGAAGCAGACAATTCAAATCTGAGGTCCATGTGCCAAGAATCTTCTTTAACGTGCTATGAGTCAATATGAATCGGTGTTCGAAAAGAAAGGTCGATCAAAAGCATTTAGGTAGGGAAAATTTGAATCTACTGTCGGTGCTGCTTGAATTTATATTCTCAATCCTGAAATTATGACTTTTCGGAATGTGAAATTCTGGTTCCTTCATTTCTGCCCTGCTTGCTAGAAACCAACCAAGCGTAACTGAGCTCTGGCAGGGGAAATCACATCATATTCTCACAGATCGACTTTATACCTAGAGCACACTCGCTACATCCAATCAGATCCATTCTTGAATTTCGCTCGATTAGAGTTATTATCGACCTTTCTTTAACCAATCATATTTTTTCTTATGGTGTTCATTAAAATGAATATTTCTTCTTGGCTTTTCTTCGATAAATCTGGTTTTCTCCTTCCGTTCCCTTTTTTCACAAGGAAGAGTCATTATCATCAACTTGTGTGTATGTTTGTTTGTCTTTCCAAATACCCTAGAAGCAGTACGCTCAACTAATCCAAAATAACTACATGGGAAAGCAGACCACGGGTACAAACTGATAAGACTCCAAAATCTACGTTTTGTGGAATGAAACTTAACTACAGGTGATTGCCTGTAAAAAGTCAGCGCAGAAATTGTTTTATATATCAAGGCTTACTATCTCTGTAGAATCGTTGGAAAAAGAAAATGGAAAAATTGTTGTAACTCTCAGTTATCATGTGTTTTTCAGTCAGAATCTTGAGGGTTATAACTTTCATATTGAGATTAAGTTACCTGTTTACAAGAAAATGGTAATAGGAGACACAGAAACGACGAGTCTGACGTAGCGCATTACAGGGGTGCCGACTACTAATCACGTATTGGTATATTTGTTTCAGATGAAATACGTTTTTCCAGGAAGATTCACACAGTATTTCATTCTCGCATTGAGATTATTTGAACAAAACTGCCCAGTATGTGTATCATCCGTGTGTTTGTTAAGTCAATCAGAGACAAATAAATATCTTCAATAGGCACGAGAAATGAAAAAAATTTTGAGAGTCGGATGTATCATTACGGCTTCTTTTGGAAACGATGTTGCAAAAAGCCAAACAGAAATGAGAACTTTTACTGAGACTGTGAACTAAAAAATACATCATAGAGAATGAAGAAAGATAATCTAGAAATGTTTCTACGATTCATCAGCAATATTTCGCTATCTTAAAAATATAGTATTCGATAAGAGTACAAATTCAAGCGTTTTTTTTTTTAATTAAAAAATCAACAACGAATTGATATTGACTTTTATAAAGAATCTAACTCGATTTCTCTATCTGAGTACTTTTCTAGAAAATACAAAAATCTACTAGGACTTTATATTGTAAAAATAAAATTGTAGTTATTCTCTACAGCTAATTGTACTATAATCTGAAACCGATTATAGGTCAAAAATAAGTAATATAATAAAAAGAAAAAACAAAAATTCCTGAGAACATAGATTAAAGAGAAGTTTTATTTCTTCTAATGTATATTCATAATTAATTATCATATTTTGAATATTATTTGTTTGAGATACTAATCGAAAAGAATCACTTTGTCCAAATAAGATTAAATCTATACCATCGAATGATACATAGTCAATTTCGAATATATGGATATTAGGTATACAATGTATTAATTCAATTATTTTTGAAAAGCAACTATTGTAATACGTTATGATTAATTTAGTAAGTTGTTTCAAAGGAGGAATACGATTGAGATTGATTGAAAGAAAGTTTTCATTTTCGATAATAGACTCATGTGCGATGATACGTTCAATCACATGTGGAAAATATTTAACACAGTTAATCATTGCTTGTTCATCTGGAATTTCAAGATAATAAACTGAATCTATATTAATATTTTCATTAATATATTCATGTATTGTATCATATAGTATATTTTTTTTTCTTCTTAAAAGTAAGAATAAACTATTGAACAAAAAAGAAATCTTTTTTCTACCTGTATAGATTTGTTGAAAAGAAGAAAGATAATATATTATCTATATTCTTTATTTTCAATATGATATTTAAAAAACCATTCTCGTTCGAACCAAAATGGCGAATTAAATTTATCGATCTGTGCAACATATTCTTTAATATCATTGTTAGAATATGATGAAGTATAAAAGAGAAAATCAAAGATTCGTAAATGAGGCATATAAGATAAAATTAATCGTTTCCATCGATTAGAATCTAAATATGTTGAATTATATTTTATTGATATATGTAAAACTTGCAGTTGTTGGAAAATATTTTTGATAATTGATTCAAATATTTCAAAATTAATGCTATTAATGCGTTCGAAATCCAGAGAAACGTTTGTCAAACAATTTGATATAGTTGAGCACGATTCAATTTTTCTGTCGGTCAATTTCGCTACACATGAAATGGATAAACGACGAAGTTGAGGAACATATAATAAAAGAGCTTTTAGCTCATTTAGATGACATTCATTTTTGATAATAAGATATTCAATAGGACTCAATTCATTACATGCAAAAGATAATAAGTTAGATCTACCGATTCTTCTCCATGATAAATTACAGTATTTCAGTATAGGTAAACGAAATATTTGACAATAAAAAATATTTTGATTTGGAACAAAATCTACACAAATGATGACTAATGAAGATAAATATGGAAAAGAAATTAAATGATTTAAAAGTTTTCCCAAATATTCATATGTGATTTTGTCTAAAATAAGTGTTTCAAGTCGAATAAATTTTAATTCAATAGAATTTGATGAAAAAAGTATTTCATTAATAAATGGATTTGTTAAATGAAGTGATTTTATTTTATATTGATAAGGAATAATAATCTGCGTATAATAACATTGAAACGTTGATTTTGATATAGATGACAATTTCATTTTAATTGAAAGAATTGAACTAATAAGATTTTGAAATCGAATATTGAGATTAGAGAATGCTTCATAGATATAAAGAAAATCGAGGAAATCAAAAATTTCATAAAAAATTTCATTAGAAAGATCTTCAAGATAGGTTATGGTTTCCTTTGACATACTAAAAAAAGAATACTTCAAATTTACAGAACATAATATAAAAAAGAACTAACTTATGCAAGTTGAATGCTGTTGCTGTACATTTTGTTTGTTCTATATCAAAATCAAAACAAAATAGTTGATATAATAAATTCAGCAACAAAATTGTGTCTATTTGTTCTACTAAAGAATGACATAAGTAGATGTGTCATAAAGTGGTTTTTTCTTCGCCAATTTATTATTATCAGACAGAATAGGAAAAAGTTTGTAACTACTGACAGAACAAAAGAAAAAAACAAAGTTGCACAACTATCTGCAATCTTATGACCATGTTTATGAATTTTATTTTATTCATATAGTAAACATGATTAACATAGAATAATATTTTTCTTGTTTATTTAAGTGTAAAAAGAGTGTGGGGTGTGGGTATCGGTATGAGAATCTCTTTTATTGCATCCACACCCAACCTACATCCCACATCCATACCCTAGACATCGATATTTCATCTTATTCTGAATGGATTTATAAAAACAAATAAGTTCGTTTTATCTGAAAGACGAAAATGTTTTTGTTTGTTATACAGACTACATACTTTGCTCCTTGATACAAACAATTTTAGTATTTCAAGATATTTTGCTGTGAACAGATTCGAATTATTTGTCAAATATCAGATCATTGGTCATACTGAAATGTTTTGAGATGAGATTTATGATTCTAATGTTTTCTTCGAATGGGGTATGGGTGCGAGAGAAAAAAAGATCACACCCACGACCCTCGAGATCTATTTGTTCTGTTAACATCCTTTGCTTCTTTTTTCTCTCACTCTTTCTTATCGCAGTTTTTTTTAGGGTGAGTATTCATTAATGTGAAGTAACAACAAACATGGAAAAGAAATAAAAGAGCCTCTAATACAACATGACAGAAGAAATAAACACAAACTATTCTTCTTATATGGAAAATATTACAGAAATGATCTCGAACAACAATAAATCATCTCTATGTCAACAACTTTTAACTCGATTAGAACAATTAAAAACACAACTAACAACACCAAATAAAGATGACAAACAAATATGGCTACAATTTCTTTCTCTCTGGCGCGAAATTCTTCAAAATCCATTATCGAATGTTCAATCATGTTACGTAGCATCTGCTCAACTTTTAACAGAATTATTAGCGGCGATCAATTTTGATTCTATTATAAAAGATGAATCCATAGCTTGTGAGACCACTTTTACATGCATGGCATTGCTGAATCAATTATATTTCAAAAATTACGTTCTACGAAAGACTGAACAAAAAATGTTACCAAGAAAAAGAATACATGATCATATTTATCTTCTTTTGGTAGTCATGGCACAAACAATTTTCATTGCTTCATTGGCTACAATCGATGACCGACAATGTATTGAAAATTATATTGATTTTTTTACTCTACTTATAGATCATGTTGACCAAAGTATGCCTGAGTTTTCTCAAAAAGTGGTGCACAAAGATTATGGATTGGATGATATTAATGAAAGTATTCTTATATTGCTCTGGAATGCAGCAGATCAAACAGGACTTGTTCCAACACTTCTCAAATGTGGTCTTGCAAAGAGAGTAGTCACTTGGCTTGCTCAGTCGACTAAATTGACAGAAAAAAGCCGACGTCCACTGATCAGTATTGTTCATAATATTGCACGACATGATGACGGCGCCGATGAACTCAACAATTATGGGGCTATTGACATTATCAAACAATATCAGAAGACGTGAGTTTACTTTGAGTGTCTAGGAGAGCAAACGATTGGTCGTTTTTCTAGCTGTGACCACATGTTATGTCTAGTCTTTTTCTCAAAACATCTAGACGTGACACACCGTCATGACACCCTTTCAATAGCAATTTTAAATTGGAAAAAAAGAGCATCACGATGCTGCATACGACGAATCGTCGTCTTATGAATTGATCGACTCAAGACTAGTCCACATGATAGAAGTATAAGAAAGAAGGTTCAATTTGATCATACACACCAGATATCATTAATCAAGCGTCTGGTCGATTCAACTATGTGATCAAATGATCGATGTTATCTCATACAATTTTACTCGAAGTTTTTCAAATTCCACTATAAATAAAAAAGTCGTATTATAGAATATCGAATTAGTGATAAAAAATTTTTATTCTCCTAAAATTGTCTTTCTCAATGGTGATGTCGAGAGAAAGTATTTTCTATCGAAAACAAACGAAAAATAATTTAAAATCAAAACAAAATCTTTTTATTCACATTATGATTGGAGTTTATCCCAACTTAAAAGTGTTGCAATCGAAACTTAAATTAGGTAATTTACATATTCTTAAATTTAAATCATTGGAATTCACATTCAAACTAAATTAATTCTAATCTATTTTACAGACTAATATATCTTAAGAAAACATGGATTTGTTAAATATATTGAAGACATTTCAGACTAGTCAACTTGCTTTTCTTCGGTTAGTTTCATTTACATAGGGAATGAGCAAGTGTCATGCTGCTATTTAGACTGCTTAAAACGACATCCATCCATCGTTAAATCTTAGTTTGTCGTCAGAAGATGCGCCCGATATCGAATGCTGTCGGATCAAATGTTCGAATCCATATTTAGTCTCATTTTTTCCTCGCTTTTCTATTCTCATGACTAATAAGGACGCTTTGGACTAAATCTGAAAGGTAGAGTGGACACTCTCCCTTATATTTTGCTTAATTGGATGTCTATTGTACGTTTTCTGTATGTATTTAGTGAATCAGGGACGACAGATTCACGAATTCTTATTGCTTCTATGGCTCTGGCACTTCTTTCGACACCTGAACAACTTAAAAGCGATAAGAAAGGCATGAATGTTGTACTAAATCATCTTCTACAACTAGTCATGAATGCTGCTAAAAATGACAGATATCGATGTGATGGATTTCATGTTAGTGAACCGTTAGCAGTTTTGGTGAAAATGTTCGTCGTCGACGAACCCACACTTGACTATGTCCTATGTCATGCCGAAACTGAACCTTCATCGGATATGTTTTCGACAATTCAACTTTTTGTCTCGTTACTATTTGATTTTTCTCAAGCATTAAAAGGAACGAATCGACTTGAACAATTTACTCTTATTGCCATATTTAATATTCTTTGGAGTATATCATTTCAACCAAACTATGCACCAGAATTAATTAAAAATCAAAAATTAATCGAAACAATCAAAAATTTCATAGATGAAAATTATGAAGAAAAAATTTTAGAACAATACAAACCACGTTCAATGGAAGGTATTAAAGAAGCAGCTCATGGTATTCTTCATAATCTTAAGATAGACAACCAAAGCAAGACGACAATCGATAAGTCGGGCAATGTTCTCGATGGTCTTGTACCAAATACATTGAATAAGTAAAAGAAAAAAATTTCAATATTATAAGAGTGTTATCATTTGATATTCTAGTATAAGTAGCAAACCATGCATTATGATTAGTTATTGTCATGATAACAACACTTTTTGTGATCAAATACTCAGTTTTCTATCTGAGCGAAATGATGTCTTTGACATATGGATAGATCGAACTTACTGTCAATCAGCAAGTGATTTGTGGGAATCAATTGCTGATGGAATGGAACGATCATGTGTCATCGTATGTCTTGTTTCACGTCAATATTTTGAAAGTAAATCATGTCGCAAAGAATTTATATACGCAGCTGATACACTGAAGAAAACAATTGTACCTGTATTGCTAGAGAATTTTAAGCCTAGAGGATGGCTTGGTAAGTGAGAAAATTATTTGATGATCGTTCTCGATTTTCATGTGCTAGGTATTCGCATACCCGATATGAAATATATCCGTTTTCGAGATCTTATTCAGCCTGAACAAACTAAAGTGGTCGAGTTAATGAACGCAATTCTTTTATCACTCTCAGTATCAACACCAGTTGTTCACGAAAACCTCCCATCATCATCTCAACAGCACACTATAACGCTGTCTGTTCCTGCTACCACTAAAGAAACATCTACTCTTCGTCCATTCAATCAATGGACATCATCGGGTAATGATATTACCGCATGGTTTGCACACCATCGAATATCGAGAAGACTTTGTGATTTATTCGAATTTCAAACGGGCAAAGAAATGCTTGACTACGCTGAATTGTTGATTAAAGATCGTGAAAATCAAATGAATATTTATGCAAAAATATTTGCTGAGAAATACAATGGTAGTGTCATGCCTCCACACGAATTTTATCGATTTTCAGCAGCCATGAAAGAATTGCTTAATGATAATCGTTCTTCTTTGTCTTCTGCCAACAAAAATTCACCGATGCCAACTAAATCAAGCACCTGTATTATTTTGTAAAAAAATTAGCATAAGAATCTGCACAGTTTTTGTTTACTATCTGGGTGTGGGCGTGAGTTGATCTTCTCTCAACCCACACCCACCAACCCTAGTATCATTATTATTATAATAAGAATGATCTATGAAAAATCAAAATCTTTCGAATATAATTCTCTGAATTGGATTGAAAATATTTGACAAATTTTATTAAAACAAAAACGATACTTATAAATTTTTCATCGTTTATCATTATCGATTTTCATTGAATCTATAACAAGTAAGGGGAAACCATTGTATCTCCGAGATTCACAATATCTGGAAATCCTACAAGATCATAGAGGAATCTCAGGAATACTCGATGTGGATGTGGGTGGGTGTGTGGCTGTGATTATTGAAGAAGAGATGTAATAGATCCATACTGACATCAAACTCACCCACATCCTCGAATAAGAATTTTTGTTTTTAGATATATTGCTCGACATGAACATTATTGAATGATCGGTTTTTTTAAGGGTGCTAAGACAATTCGTCGCATGGACAATTCGTTGCCGGACAATTCGTCGCAATGATATAATCCAATTATAACTTATCATTATTTTTTCATAAATGAATTGACCTATTAAGATAAGTTAGAAACACCTAATCCAATGAGTATGGAAATTGTAGAGACTATTTTTAATGACTAAACTTTGAATTTTTATTTCGGTTTCTATCATGATAAGATATTCTGGCTTGATAAAAAAATCGGATCTATTTTCTACTTCACGATTAATATTGATTAGATGAAAAATCCTCAAACGTGAGAAATCATCAAAACTAGTGTTAGCACTATATAAATTATCGATTAATTCAAACCAGTTTAATTTTAAACATTTAAAATAAGAGCTGATCGTCTTTAAACTAACAAAATTTGTACGTTAAATACGTAGATTTAATAAAAATATTTGATCAAAAGTTTTTTGGTTATGTTAAAGTCAATCTTTGTTAGTGAATACTAGATTTCACTTATTTTCTCAAATTATTGTCCCATGTATCGTAAATCTTGAGCTATGGCAAGAATTGAAAGAAAGATGCAGTACCACTTCCGCTTCTATAAGAAAAATTTTACCGCTGACATATTTCATACAACTGAACTTTTTATATGTACAAGACGATTATTGTACTGCTCGGGATCAAAAATCAAAGTTTAGTCATTAAAAATAGTCTCTACAATTTTCATACTCATTGAATTATGTGTTTCTAACTTATCTTAATAGGTCAATTCATTTATGAGAAAATAATGATAAGTTATAATTAGATTATATCATTACGACGAATTGTCTTGCGACTAATTGTCCGGCAACGAATTGACCCGCAATGAATTGTCCGGTCACCTTTTTAAGCAAAGCAGTCTTCTTCTTTTGGTATAGGAACAGGTAAGATTATTTTTTTTTTCGTTCTTATCTAATCTTTTCTCTTTTATAACTCTATTGTTCGACGCATATATCACTGGATGGTTGGTTTCTTCAAACACAACAATCATCTTCTCTTGTCGCATGCACAGATTACAAAATTTGCCAGTTTTTAACTATTTTTTGTTTGAAGTCTTATCATATTGAAGTTATTTCGGTGCGTTTTAAATAAATAAATATCAGTGAGAATAACGACCAGCTTAGTTTCTTAAGGAGAAACTGAAGGAGTAGGAAAGGAATGCTGATCACAGGAACGATGGTGTCGTGTTGTGTCGTATACGATCGCAAACGGCCATCGTAACGCTCGACCCTACACATGTAGTAAGCATCGAAAACGGATGATATTGTGCTGCAGGTCTTTATCAATTAAAAGTACACTTCTGCACTGCCGATAAGTGTTCTCGGGTAGTGTTTTCTGATCATTTTGGTGACAAAAAATTTTGAGTTTGACTCGAAAATGGTAGAAATAAGATAAAAATACTGAAATGGTTAAATCTCTCTACGAATATTTCAGTATTTTCATATTACTTATGCCATTTTCGAACCATATCGAAATTTTTATTATTAAATAGATAAGGAAAATATTTCCTACGAAACTTGTTATTTTGTAGTGAATTCTGAGACACTTGGTTTTTTGAATAGTTCCGATAGGCATGGCCGACTCATCGCAAAATAAACTAATGTAAGCTTTTATTTTCTTCATTTTGTCAGCAAGCACAGCCAAGATATTAATATTCGAGATTGGGATACAATTCTGTACAAGATAGGTTACTTTTTAAGGCTATATGTGAAGAAACACTGAAACATATGCCGTTGTTAGACAATCCGTGGGTGAGTTACTATCTCATCTGAGCTTGAAAATATCGATATTTTTAGTCAGTCATCAGTTTTCGTTTCCTTTCTTTTCTCCTAATTTGCAAACTCCACATACATCGTATCCACCCATCCTTAGAAGAAATTCTTCCTACACATGCTGATAATGAACCTGAAAATAAGACTGCTCGACAAAAGCAAGAAGAACCGTCATATTATAGCATTGAGAAAAATATCAATATTTAGGTTAATTACTGAAAGTAACTCTAATGCACATGATACCTTGATTTTATATAAAAGAAATCATTAAAATGGGTATCATGAATTTCGCAGTGCTGGCTTTTGTAGTTAGCTCTCGGCAATTGCCAAAAATCACGTCATACATCAAAATTTCATACATAACAGGACTGGCCTTTCATTGCCGAAAGTTCAGTCCTGTTAAAAATGAAATTTTGACTTTTGTACTTAACTTTTGGCAATATTCGAAAATTTTGTAATAGACTGTTGATATTATCTTTTAAGTAAATAGAATACCATTGGACTTTCGGTAATATATAATTTGACGTTGCCAAGAGACGGCGAATAAGAATTTTTCGATCTTTTGCAGTTCTGTTCGAGTAAAACGTGGCCAGAAGTGCTTGTGTTGCAGATCACTTGAGTTGCAGCCTGCCCGTCTCACACTGTGCATGTCTTGCAAGCTACCTCTCTTGCAGGATGCTTGAGTTTTATGTTGTCTGCTCTTCATATTATGTGCTTTTCAGACGGCTCCCTTTATCTACATTATAGCCAACGTAATATTTAATTGTGTCATTACTCAGAGTTTTTGAAATTCGTAGTCAAATTTGTTAGTTTTCTCACAACTATGCCTTGCTAAGAAGGTGTTAATCATTCATTGCCGGAAGTTCACTAATTAAGAAATAGTGCCAAAAATCTACTAATTAAAAAATTGCTGCAAATGCGATTTTTTTAAACTTAGTTAATTAGTCGATTCAGTACTTATTTCGAGCATTCGCCTATTACCAACGGTTAGGCTTTTATGGGACACCAAAACCGATCTTTTGGCAATTGTCAATAGTGCAATTTTTCGAGTTTCTCGTTAAAATTCCTAACAATCACGCCAAAACCAGTGATCCAGTGTATTTAAATGATTCGAATGGTCTGTCTGAGGAGAGCAATGCAGTCTATTGCTGTGTTTACATTTTTTAATTGATAAGAAGTCTCTTCCACAACGTTTTTAAATTAGAAATATATATGCACAATCATGCCAATTGAGGTTATTGTTGCTGGTCTGCCACGGACGGGAACGACATCAATGAAAATGGCTCTTGAACAATTAGGCTTTGCAAAGACAATGCATACGGATTCTTGTATCAATGATCCTAAACTAGCGGCAGCCTGGCGAGAAATTTATGCAAATCATTTAGAGAAAACATGGACTAGTCAAGATTGGCGAGACTTTTTTGATAAACGATTTCCTGGATATGTTGCCGGCGTCGATTCTCCATTTGCTGATTTTGCGGTTGAAATTGCTCAAGCTTATCCTGAAGCGAAAGTTTGTAAAGGAAAAACAAACTATACATAACAGTTGAACTGTAACTACTCTCGCTCTCTCTCTCTCTCTTCAATGCTTAGGTTATCCTGCAAGTTCGTGATCCTGAAAAGTGGTTTATTTCTTATCAACGTCTACTTCATGAAAGACGCTTTTCTAATTGGGAAGCTTTTTGTATATGGCCACTCACCAATATCAATGAATTCTATCGATTAAGACTACATAGACTTGTCTGGTGGCAAGATGTATATAATTATCCAGCCGCAGGCAAAGAGGTTATGTCACTCTATATTGACAAGATAAAATCATCAATTACCTCTGAAAGAATGCTGATTTATAAAGTACAAGATGGATGGGCACCATTATGCAAATTTTTGGACAAGAAAGCTCCAGAAGAAGAGTTTCCTGTGTTGAACGATGCAGAATCGCTAGCCGATGTGAAGAAAAATTGGAAGAATGAAGGTTTAAAAGTTTGGATAGCATGGTTAAAAGAAACGGCTATGGTAGCCATCGGCTTGACAATCATTATTTCGCTCTATCGACAACGTTCTATATTCAGAAGTTTTCCATACAGCAATTAAGTAAACTTGTTATGAGATACGAAGAAGCAAAAACAATTGCGAGTGGAGAAAAAGGCTGCACAAAGACTATCTATCAATTATTCATACACTTCATATCAGTTTTGCATAAAATAAATTCTGCAACAAAATGTAAATAAGTCTGTGTCTAAACAATCGGGAAAGAATTTTACGAAGATAAGGCGTTGATCTGGAGTACGTCGGTAAAAATAGCAGTCATACGCATACTCATACCGCAAGTTTCAACCTCGAAGTAGAAGAATAATGGTTGTTCAGCAGCCTATTCACCTCAATGAGAAAAGTATCAGAGGAATTTTATCGAACAAAAATCTTGGACGAGTTTGGCGAAATGCAGCATATTTGTGCACGTTCACTGCAACAGAGAGGTGTTGAGGGCACCTGTGTGGATTGGGCTTAGTTATGGGTATGAGTGCTGGTGTGGATGTAGTTGTGGATGCGAGGTGTTGGGATAGGACTGTGGGTGTGGATGTGCTCTGATCTAGCTTACTCCTACACCGATATTCACACTCTCACATTCCCGCACACGCCACATATGCGCACCCAAATTCGACAATTATAATTAGTTATTAGTTAGGTGCTTAATCTCTTGTTTCATTCAATCCCAGGTGAATCATGCCCGGCCGTTCACTAACCAAGCACGGCGAATAACGACGATTGTTTACGTTAGCCATTCACGCCAGCAGTAAACGGTGCTTTACAGCGTATTATGGCAATCGTACAGAGTGCTTGTAAAAGTCCATCATAAACTACTACCGTAACAATACAGTGACTGTATACTTTGGTCGGAAAACACTGTAACACATTGTATATGTCAGCCGTTTGCGGTGGCCGTTTACAACGGTTGTACGAGATACTTTACAGCTTACTACGGCGATTGTAAATATTGACCGTAAAATATCGACGGAAACGACTCGCGTGGCAACACGGCAACTGAATACGCTGGTATGATGAAACATCGTAAGACACTGTATGTGTTAGCTGTATACGGCAATCCGTTACGGTGACCGTGAACGATGTTTTACGATGCTTTCCGACCGTTGTAAACAATTACCATGAAAAGCTACCGTGTATGACTTGAGGGTATGGGTGCGAGTGTGGGTGTGGGTGTGGATCAATAGATAATCAACAGCCACACTCCACACCTACACTCACACCCACACCGATACCCACACTCTATATATGTAGAGGTAGAAGTGTCTAGAAAATGTCTTGTCACTAATTCTCATTTCAATTAAATGGACAGGAAATGAGATCATCTACTTTGTGTTTTCGAAGGATGAGTTTTGAACAAACAGCATGATCGTTTCTCTTTTCCATTTATTAGACTAATTTGAAAGACAATATGATCTCTTCGTTCTAATTGGGAATAGTTAATTCTCACAAAACAAACCATGATAGTGATCTTATTGTCGAAGATTCGTCTGCCAATGAATTTAATCTTATTTAGTTAACGAGAGAAGATCATTTCAAACTATGACGATGCAGACAATGATAATCTCACAATGATTGTGGCTCTATCAAACGAACAAACATTGAGATCAGTGAATATTTGAGTGTATTTTTTGGAACTAAACGATGAATCAAGATAGAAATGTATTCGACAATTATTTGTTCTTTTCAGGTTATAGTGTCTAGAAAATGAAGGAGTGTTGAAATCAATTGGTTTTATTGATGCATCCCGAAGAATTCAGAAATTGAAAGATAGCTTTTAGAATCGATTCGATTATTTCCGATCTAAATGATCTTGTGAACGGTTGTTTGGACCAATACAATATCTACGATAGAAAATTTTCAACAGAACTGAGACGAATTAAAATATTTGTTCTTCGTTCACATCCATTCTAAATGTTTATTCAAACAAAAGAAGCAATTATATGAAGGGCGATTTGATTATATTGATCAGCAAAAGCAAATTGCCATTTCTCGACTAACTTCATGACCATTGACATAAGTTTGAATGGTCTAAATGAGAACGGCAAGCATCGCCAAGAATCCTTTTGCTTTTCAGCATGTACACATGTGAATCTCTCGAACTAAGTAAGCAAGATGTCTGTTGGTGTCAATGTCGAGTCAATTCTACTGTTGTTCATCATTCTCGTTAGTTGTATGCATGCTGCGCATCTTCATACCGTGATCAAGAAAGGTCACTTAGGCATATTGAGATTGGGCCAATTCTCGGTCTATGACGACACAATAACTACATCCGTGCTTATCTATCGAAAGAAGTGTATGCCAATTTGACTGTTAGATTAGTAATGTCGAGTTACACTAGTGGTATTTTAATTCTTGATCCATACTCCAATCGTCGGATCAACGATAATATTACAGAATATAGTAAAAACTTCGAGAATAAATACTTCATCTGTTGGAATAGCGAGGTCCTATTGATGTGAACTTGCTTACACTAGTTGACTACAAAATTTTATGTCACACCTGAAGATAGTCTCTTGGTTCAAGTCTTAAAACGAGCAACCTCAATATTTTCACGAAATGAGTACGATATTATAGCAGTTTTCAACAAGTTTTCCCACGCACTCTACCTTCTGGCACTCACCATTCAAGATCATCAGAAAACTCACTTTAAGAGAGGCAAAAAATGAATTCTCGTTTCATCAAATTTTATTCATTTATGTGTATGCTTATTTATAAAATGTTATACTCAACGAATGTTGACATGAACATTGAAGGAAAACATGTGAGAAAACTAATTTCACATTAAAAAAAAAGACATTTATTCCTTTCAAGAGAATCTTCCTAGCGAGGGAAAAAATTGAATTTCGATGCTTGTAGAAAACTAACTAGATATTTTCTCTTCTACATGTTTCCATACGCGACGTTATTAGAATCTGAAGATAGCACAAAAATACTAGCTACTTTTGGATACAAGTTCGGTGAAAAAAATAACGCTGTGTAATAATGACTTATTACCACATTTTTGCATCATTCTCCTTCAAATCATGCAATGCATGCAATCGACGAGCACTAATGAATTTCAAAGCGTTTTTTGAGTGGCTACAAACTGTATTTTTCTTAGAGCTTCAAAAGAACCTAAATGAAAGGTATAGATGGATCGATGAGTGTCTTCTCTTAGTCCACACTTTCATCGACCATATTTATGCCTTCAAATGATTTATTTGAATGTTTCAAATGAAAGAACATGTTGAGAAATCTTTAAATCCAAAAGCTCAGCTATTTTGAACATCTGTATAAAAAATGACGGCCGATACATTTTTTCTAATTATCAGATGATAGTCAATCAATCTGCTTTCTGTCTCATAAGGAAACTTTGATAAAAACAAATTCACTTGATGACCAGATCATCTACTTTATGTATACCTTAATGAACTATGAATATCTTATGAAAATTTCGTGTCTCTACGTTGTCACTGCTTCGATATTAATTTTTTCAAATTTTCTTATATGATATTGCCGTAGGCCGCCTCAGGTATTTCAAAAAAAATCGAGTTTTAAGTTTCAACTTGGAACTCACACAAATGGCTAATATAATCAGAATATTTTATGGTAAAGCTTTCAGATTTTTGCTTAGTCCTATCTTGAGACATGGCCACGAGAAAAACAAAATAACTATATTTTATATCGCTCATCAGAATTTGAAGAAGTAGAAATCTCTTACCATTGTTAGAGACATCCCCAAGTGGACTGAAATTTTGAATTCAGACATTTCTTATCATGTTCTTTCATTTAAAATATTTACATAAACAATTTGAAAAATGCTGTGTGTCAAGATTCAGTCCTACAAATTTTTCAAAATGTCATTTCACGTTGTCTGATGTTTTCTTTCAAATGAACTTATTCTCAACCTTGCTTATTATTGAGCTGAGTCGATTAACTTGCCTTATCAATCTGGTCATTAATTCTGTGATCAACTTATGAAATTATCAGATGTTATAAGTAATAATCTGGTTTCAATATCATGAAAAAATAGGCCAGAATTGATAATATTTATGGTAAAAAAATTCATTGCTACGACTCCTATTATTCATGAGAAAACTGCATTTTTCCTGGAAAATGTCGCTTTCAAAAAAGCTCAAAATTAGTCTGAGTAGCTATCTTTTCAATATCAATATCTCTGAAATGGTCCATTAGTTTGAACTAAAACTTGAAATTTGTTCCTATAAGATAAATATGAGCCAAATTGGTGAAATTCATCAAGTGTAAGATTCTACTAACAGTAATTGTGACTTAAGTGTCATGTTTCCTAGTGATTGGTGTCAGAATATTTTCTCGAGATGACTTCTTTTATGAGTCTGATACAAAAATGAGAACAACTACCGATGACTGAATCCTGCCCGTTCAGAAACCGATATCGAGCGAGGTCAGATTTGAATATAAGATCATCGACACATGTGATTATAGATAGATCATGAAGCAAAACCTTCAGATGATTTTTGTCGATCTCGTAGATTTGATTGAACAATTTTGGATTTTTGATTTCATATTTCTATTAAAGATTGCTTCAGCTAATCGTTTTTTTTTCTATTTCTAGTTGACACATCTTATCTAGACTGACATCAAAACACAATGTTAAAATATGTTATAGCGAAACAGATTTTGAGCACTTGAATCAGATAGTTCCAGCGGAGCCTCATAGAACATGGTGATTGATAGATGGACAAAATTCCTATGAACTCTTATTTGTTGAAATTCAATCTCCAATTAACACATACCATTATTAATACCTATTTCCTCAGCAAATTGTCATCAATGACAATCTAACATGTTAAAAGGAATGGCATGTTTGGTTTTTTTTTAATCAACTGACGAGAACACTTTACATCGATCATCGAAACAGTTATATTCCATGTTAGATATTAGAATAAGCAAACAATCTTGGATCGAAATTGAACTTTTGCAAACTGAATGTAATTATTGAAATCAAGAAAATTAGTTTCTTTTTTCTATGAACATGTTCTCTCTTAATCATATTATTTAAATGATTCGATGAAGAAAGTCAAATAATAAATTGTCAATTTTGACAGATGTTATCTGGTATTTCAATCAAGAAAATGTGGGTGTGATTATGAGTAATCATATAACAATATTAATACTATTTGGTAATGATGTTGTTAATTGTGTTGCATGTCTAGATTAGAGTAATTAATGACAGTTCAGTAAACATTTCAAGATAAGCTTTATTAGTATAAACACATAAAATTTCAACTACTGACAGAATAATGTATTTGTTAATCATTGAAAGAACAGCAACTATGATACTCTACATTATTAATACAACTGACAAATTGTAAGTTAGTGAATAAAATACAATATCACTTTCGATGATCAGGGAAATTGAAGATTGTATATTCATATATCATAATTGTCATAGTAAACTCATCATTCAAACATCAACTATCGACTAAATGTAAATGACAATCGTGTCAGAAATGGTTATTCCTTGAAACACACATGATCATATAAATCATAAGAGAGATGATGATGATGATTAGCACCAGCTCAAATTCTCTTCGGGTATTTCTTTGAAAAAGAGTTGATTCTTAAAAGATAGACTTCTATTTTTCAATGTACTCCATTGAAAACTACAGTATTCATTTAGAATTAAGCTCATCAACACTATTCTTAAGTTGTTTTCTTTTGTGATTGAATATTTAGTGTAAAAAATAAATGGTGTGTTAGTCGATTTTTTTGCATTAAATGGTCATATTCGATGTTTTACTGAATGTTTGCTTTATGTTCTTGATGCGATCCATCTAAAATTACTCACTTTCTAAATGCACTGATTCTCGAGATTTAAAAGCGAAAAATTACTTGAAAGTACTCGAATTTTCCTTCTTTTATTTGATAATTCTAAAATATTGATTCTCAATGAAAATTGAACACGATTCTATTTAGTCTCTCATTCATACACATTCGATATCGTATGTCTATTTTTCCGCCACTTTTTCTACTGATAATAACTACTCAGGATCTGACAGTGATCGATAACAACATGGCAAATTAATGTCATATTCAAATAGAACCATATTAAGTATCTTCAGTTAGCATGAGATACAATCGGTAATTCTGAATTTCATTTTATCCAAGTGTGCAAAATACAATGCAAGGAAAAAATGTTTATTATACAATTTAAGTGACTTTTCCATTTCGAATAGACATGAAATCAAATTAAGAAACCGAAGATACAGCAACTAACCTAAGTAATAAGAGCCTTGAACACAAGTCACTATAATATTTGTCTATTTGAATCTCTCGATTTTCTTTGCGCACTTCACTAAAAGTAAAATGTTTTCCTTCTGTTTCTTTTTTGAATTTCAGGAAGAATGGAGAAGTCGACTCTTGATTAGTCATACAGCATATTTCTTCGTATTCTTACGTTTCAAAACTGATGGTGAAGAATGTGACAAAAGGGGCATATCTGATGACAGAGAAACATTCAATTAAAACAAATATAGATCTAATGGTGAAGTGATGTAGTGTTTTTATTAGGTTTCATATTGTTATGATCGTGAACAAACATTACAGATGGAGAGGATAGAACAGTTTATGAGAAAATGAAAAATGCAAAGTATTGATGTTCATCGTTTATTGAACTATAATCAGATGCTTGAAATCTAGGCGAGTGTTGATTTAGATTGTTTGATTCAATGACGTATTGTAGCCAATCTTTGCATGTTTGTAGCGAATGACATGGCAGCAATTGTAGTTGTGTCTGGATGCACTTGGATACCAAATCGACGCAGTCTCACTATTCTGTTGACAAGATGTATGAGTTCATTTCGATAGATACGAGACGAGAGGAAATACAAGAAAAAGGCTGTTGTATATGAAATATCAAAAAGAATTTGAAAAATAGTGTTGAGAAAGTAGAAGACTATCGTAGGTTTATATATTGATGACAGGGCAAACATAAGATAGGTGACGCTAGTGGGAATATTTAGAATAATGTGAACGCATAACTGAAGAAGAAGCATACGAACTAATTGAGTTTCAGTGCGACGATAGCGTGAGACTGCTGCACGATTGATACGATATTGTTTTGTATTATAGATGGTCATGAAACCGAATAGAGCCATTGCAAAGGGTGGAACAATGGCAAAGAATGTAACTTGCACTATCAAATACACTTGTTTGTAGGTGGTATCGTCTCGAATGGCACATCCAAGTCCATCACTTTGTCGCGTATCGACCAAAATTAGAATATTGCTGAGAAAAAGACTAAGTAGAACCACCATAAGTAGAATTGTCCATCTAGCCACTTTAACATTGCTTAAATGACGTAGTTGTACACGAGCTGAAGTTCCACAGTATCGATCGATGGAGGCAAGAATGATAAAGTATGGTGACAGGAACGCCGATACAGTGCCGGCATAGGTGACCAATCTGCATATAATGAGGGATTCATTAGCCACTGTTAATTGGTATCCATTGACCAACATATAATAGATCATAAAAATACTCGAGTAGATGAGATTGTTGCCAGCAAGAGCGAAAAAATAATGAGAACATGCATGTTGATACAAGACAGGTCGTTTTAGCACAATAATATTGATTGAATTACCTACTATACCCACAAAAATGACTATGGGCAAAATAGCTCGTGACAGTTGAACGCCAAGTTGCGTTAACGAATCAACCATAGCTGCTCTCGTTCTATTTCTATTTAAATGAAGATGATATTTGTTGTCAGCGTTTCTCCAATTCTTTTAATCCATCTATTACTGATATTAAATCTTTAAAAAAACCTAGATTGAATAAGCGTTGACAGTGTCAGTCAGCATTTCAAAATACTTTGATGAACACTGCATTTATATTTCACATAGAAGTATGACGCAAAGCTTACAGAAAAATCCATTATAATCAAAAAAATTACGATAATAAGATTGCATACTTATCGTAGACAAATTTTATAGAAACTAAAACACCTAATGGAAAAAAAAAATAATTATGAAAAAACTGATTTTGCTCTGAGAAATGAATATTATATGATCACGAGTTACTCAGTTCATCATTAAAAATTGATGTTGCTGGTTCATTGCCCCGTAGATTTGGACTTTTTTGCGGAAAAGAAATCACTCTGCGACTACGGCAGTATTACAGGGAAGATGATTCTATCCTTGAAAAGTTATTCTAATAATATTCTGTTGATTTAATAAATCATTAATGTGCACATTAAGAGATCATAAATGTTTGATATGTAGATGGGAAACAAACTGTTCTACTTCCTTTGTTTTCACTGTTATCTGATTCTGTTACTGTTCAGAATGGACTGTAGCACACCATACTTATCTAGCTACAACGACATGTATCGCATTCTACTGTTTGAATAATTCTTTTGATGAAAGAAAACTTGATTTCATATAACTCATATTTTTCTTTGAGAGTTGTTGATTTGTTTCTAATAGTAGATGAAAGACAAAGAAATGAAAGAAAAAAGATCATAATATGTTTCCTCATCGTTTTTTATCAAATTCCGTAGTTCGTTGTGGTTCGATGTAGATTAGAAAATTAGACCATTGTCTCTTTTCGAGTCTTGTTTATTCTCAAGGAAGTACTTTATCATTATCTATCATCGAAAAATAAGATTCCTTTTTGAAGAAAATTCTACGCCAACAATCTTGCAAAAGCCTAATATTCATGATACGACACTCTTTATTCATTCTTATCACTCCCACAAAATCTCTCTTCAAAACCCAATACTGATTCAAGGTCTTGTCACATATTTGTCAAGTATACAACAATTAAAATATCGAAATGATAAATGACAACTACATACATACTCATTCACTACTTCAATATGAGTGATCAGATCATTCTCAAATATCAAACTTCTAATATGATTCATAAGTGTAAAGTTTTCAAAATATAGATAGAGAATGAAGCAACTGCAATAATCTGTCAACTTTGGATATTTATCAACAAATCAAAACAATTATAATTGAGAAAATTCAATGATATAAATCTATTGATGATATCCTCAATTGATTAGAAAAATTTATCTTTAGAATAAATCTATTCATATCTTCAAATGTTTTAGATAAAATGATTAAGAGACAGTATAGGATATTAGTTGAAGTTAATTATAGATTCTAATTGTTTTTATCACATAAATAATTCATTTTAGAGTATTATATATTAATTAATAACATTTAAAACAAAAGAAAAATTCGATTTTATCTCTATTTTTGTTTAAAATAGTTTCTAGTGTTAATTCATTAAAACGTTATTTTAAAAGATATATAACAACAGAAGTATCATGATTATTAACAGACATGGAACTTGTACCATATTGTTATGTTATTATTGATATGGATATAAATGATCGATATCAATTTCATATTCAACAATTAACAAAACCAAAGTCAATTTTATCAATAAAATTCAAACATAATCGTAAGTAACTGAACAATAGTATAAAATTATTTGAAATATTTTTTATTAAAAGGTCATTGTACTTATGAAGAATCAGATACAGAATCGATGATGGAAATTGATGATAATAAAGAAGATGACAATCAATTTAGTGATAAAGATGATATTAATAATTTGTATCAATCTGCATCAAAACGAATGAAAACATCATCGAAATTTTAAAAAATCATTTTATGCACCTATAGATCTTCTTCCTCATTATAATTAAATAATATTCAAGACATAAAAATGGAAAGAAAAACTTTTTTATTTTATTTTCTTCTCTGATAATACTTCTATAATTCTACTTTTATTTATTCTTTTTCTTTAAATAAACATGTAAAACATGATTAAAAAATTTATTTTTTTTTATTAATAATACATGTAGAGAGAAGATAGATTTTATATTAAATTTCGAAATTTCCTATTTCGATTGATAAAAAAGTCAATATCATTATTATTATCTTTTGGAAAACTTTCCAATTTCAATTCCAATATATATGAATATCTATTGATTTGAGTATCATTCAGTATTTAGGCCATATCACTTATCAAACAAAAAGGTCATGATGAACATCTCTCAGAAGAATATCCAGGAGATAAAGCACAGAGGTGTACACCGCTCGCACGGCCGCGCCTTGATCATATTAGCTTTTAACATTGATTTTAAAGTAACGTCAATTCTGATGTCTTCGGACGACATCTATGTATTTTTTGTATTAGATTAAAAATAAAAAGACAAAATGGCATCAACAGAAAAATTATTCAGAGAAAACCAAATTTCATTATTCCGAGAATTAAAAACTGTCAACAGTAGAATTTTATGAAATTTAGTTTTCTCTGAAGAATAATTATTCTGTTGATGCCATTTTGTCTTTTTACTTTTAATTTAATACAAAAAATACATAGATATCGTCCGAAGACATCAGAATTGACGTTGCTTTGAAAATCAATGTTAAAAGTTAATATGATCAAGGCGCGGCCGCGCGGGCGGTGCACGCCTCTGGTTCAGATATTCTATCAAAATTGATTTGTATTTTTCAAAGAAGAGAAGAGACAGCATATGACGTCATTATTTTAATCGATGATTGTTGTATGGTCATTCTATCTATCTTCTCATTTTACTTTCTACGTCAACTTAAGAGACCATAATGCTGTAAGAGAAAAATAAACAGGTACTTGTTTATTATCTCCCCCCC